CTTTGTGTATTGACTGCAAAAATGAAAATGCTGTATAACAAAGGGCAAGTAAACAAAGAACAGGCAATAGCAGTTAGTGCATCAAAAGGCCAACTCAAAGACAGGTACCGAAAACCCTTAAGATCTCAAAACGTTGTCTTACCTGTGCTATTACTCTATTCACTTTTGCGTAAGCGAACATTGCTAAAAAAAATTATAAGTGCGGACTCAAATTGCCGGCTAAACCAAACCTGCCAGGCACAGCTAGAAAGTGATTTTCCGATAAATTCGCGGCCCTATGCGGAACTCAGCGTGAGTGACAAGGGTGGCGTAGAGTGCTATCAACGAACGAAAGCGCACACATAAGCGGGTATAAATAGACAGTTTTGATGGCGCAGCAACATGCCCACATGCTAAGACATTCTATTAAGTAACTCATTCCTTTACCTCGATTTGGGGTTGCGGGTTTCGGCCCACTGGCATCTTCTGCTCAAAGCGATCTCGACTCTCGTGTATTAACAATTTTCTGCTGCTGCCATATTGCTTTTGTGTAATTTCACATACAGAAGTGTTTGTATTTTTTTGACTTGGAGGCGAACGGTGGCTGCAGTCGATGCATATACGGTCAATGAGAAGGCCAACGCTTTGCTTACATTTTTGATGATGCGCTTGCGGGTGTTTCCCGTACCAAGAAGCGTGGGAATTGCTACGGTAGAGATGTCTGGACCCATTATATATTCTTGTTCCTCTTTCTTCTTTTCTTGCGTGCCAAATCCTTCACAAATTACGTTGTGGGGGTTGTCTGTGAATTGTCTGGACAGCAGTTCTCATTTTTAACTTTTTGACATTAATAGCATACTTTTTTGTATCTAATTGTGTATCATGGGTTTGATTTGTGGCACGCATGTTGTTTATTGTCGATGATTTGCATAGTTTGGCTTGCGGCTGTCACGTTTTTGAAAAAGTGGCAGAAACTCACAGATTAATGGGCTTTTTAAAATAATTTCCCACGGAATTGTTTTTACAGCCAAAAAAGTATAAAGACATCTTGTCGCCATTCTGAACACAGCTGGATGCCAATTTCACACATTTTAAACTTAAGGATGCGTATGTTTTTCCATTCCTTCTGGTCAGCATATGTAGTATGTGCCGGCAGCCGACAGCGCCGTTTCCATGAAAAACTGCAAATCTGGCTTACGCCGTGAAAGGTCACAAAGGCACAGGAAAAGAAACCATGGGTGTAGCTAAAGATTTTTGAGAGGTTGTCATTTTTTGCTCTTTTTCTTTAAATAATAAATTCAGCCCTATTTAAACATAATTAAGGAAAGAGAGATGTCCCCCTTGGACAAGCCCCTGTCTACAAACACATGTGAACGTATGTACTGACTACCCATTGGTCTTTCCGCCGACGTAGGCACAGGGAAGTTCCCATGTGTTCCATATTTGGAACGAAACTTTGTTCCTTCGCAAAATTATTTTTTCTACATAGTGCTGTAGTAATCCTTTCCTTGCTGAAGGATCTGGATAAACATTTCGGGCATGTGGTAAACAGATTTGAGAAAATGTATCTAAATTCCTTCCTATTAGACCCCTTTCCTTTGTTTTTTTTTTCACTTCCGTTGCAATTTTTTTTAATGTAAACATGACAAGTCGGTGAATTTCTTGTTCTTAGGATAATTTTAGGGTCAACTTGACACCATTCTGCCTTAACAGCAGCCAAATTTTTTTTTCAACGGAAAATGCTTTAGAAAGTTATAAACAACTAAATAAAGTGATTGGTGGTTTTGCAGACTCAGAACTCTTTGAAAACTTGTGTGGAGACTTAAAAAAAACTATATAAAAATAAACCGAGACCAATCTTAAAAGTTAGATACATTGGATAATATAAGTAACTATGGCGTTCACATGACAATGAATAATGTTATTCCCGGCGTCCTATTAGATGTCAAATTCCACTTTTTAAATTATTGAATTTAATTTTTTAATTTTATTCAATTATTTGGTATACATTTATTTCATCAGCAGGCGATCAATATCAATCAGAATTACACTACTTTTAATGTGAAGCTTCAAAACTACGATTCTAAGTACTTATAGGTATCGAGTATGCTTGTGAAGGGGTTACGGAAATCCCAATACCACGTGCTAGGGACTGTGGTTGGTTGCACTTCATCCCTTAATAATGAACATAACAAGAACGTGACGTCACATGCAGAGACATGTGCTTATTACGGCAACGTTATGTTCGAACGTAAGCCATTTGCATTACTATGGGAGTGTACAGGTAATTTTGTGAATGCATCTCTAGCATTTATGTTGTAAGTCCATTTGTCCCTTAATCTTGAACGAATTCTTATTATTTGTATACGGGTTTTTCCGCGCATATTAACTGCTTCAAGCTGCGACACAAACAATGTATGTCAATGTTTACTTCATTATATTATAGACATTATTTTTATATACAAGAATATGCAGATTACCTAAATCAAGAAAGGAACAAACCGAATTTGGTAAGCCTTAAGTTGGATCTATAAAAAATGTAATATTCTATAGAACGACAATTTACCGATTTCTATCCGCACATGTTTTTAAACAATGAAGTAATGACGACTTCAAATACATTGTTGTTTGATAATATTGAAATTTTTTTTAAATGTACAACTTATTTTTATAGATTATTGTATCCTCAGTCATATGTTTAAAATCAATGAAAATATTTCGTTATTCCTAATAAATTTCGGATTTTTCCCATAAATAAATATATAGTGACGCTGACCAAGAATATTTGTATATACTTATTACGGTATAATAACAATGCTTGCAAATATTAAAAATACACAAAACTTAAAACTCAGGTGCAGTAGAAATATGGCATTATGTATGAGAGTTCTTAGAAATCACCACTACCTGACTTTGGTGGGTATTTCCAGAAAGTTATCAATCGCCTATACGTCTGGTAAAATATTGAAAAGGGCCAGAAATTAGAATATGCAGACTGAAAGCAATTAGTGATCGAGACGTTCCCCCTACCTGGCTAGTAATGCCTTGCCAAACTGCGCACGTACCTCTACCTAAATGCCAACAAATTGATGCGTATAAAATGATAACTGTCGAAAGTCATGACTAAAATTCCGAACTAGTCAAACTCTTTTTATTGGCCACAGATAGCAAATTACAGGTTCAAAAATTTAACTAAAAGTCTAATAGGTTGAACCAACTTTGTTGGTTTGAGTTTTGGAGCATATTACTTGTAGATGCTTGTATGTATGTCAATGTTGAATGCTAAAATCCTGAAGCCAAACTAAATGCTGTGAGCTTTGTACAGAAGCCAAATCGATAATCTATAGCAAACTATATAAAAAAAACATGCATAAATGTGTTCGAAGTAATTCTAGCTGGGACTTAAAAAATGGTTTATTTTTAAAGGTACAGATCAAATTTCGCCGTCACGTACACAAACCATTTTTGGAAGTCCAGCTTCTTATCCTTGAACTTCCAGCTTGACAAAAGAAAACGACTAAAAGGCTGGGCTGCCGACATAAACGACGGTGGCGAAGACTGTTCAGGTTGGTTCTTTGACCGTGAAGCCCGAGCCTGTCCAATCAAAGAAAACAGGTTAGCCTGCATCGCATTCTTATGAAGCAGAGCAAGGCTCTAAAAAAAACGAAAGTCATCATTCAAAAAGTATTTCGCGCGACAGCCACAAACTCGTGCCCAGTGTACATCTGCTGAGAATACCATACAGGCAGACGGAACGAGCCCTAACGCATGATCTGCAAAGTTTAAACTTTTTCCTCGAATTGATCTTTTTTAAAACCCAATACGCGTTGGCAGAGAAATACAGACATACAAATATGAATAAAAAAGTATTCATTTTGAAGTCTAGTTATATTTGGATTGAATGAAGCATTTCAAAAATTATTTTGTGTTTACAACCAATTTTGGGTGCAATTGTTTGAAGTCCAACCTCACCGGAAAATCAAGGATTTGGCCGATTTAAATTTGTAAACCAGTGTTATTGATCCTTAGTTGATGTTAAATACGTCATGGTAATAATAAGCCATGTCATCAACAACAGACGGCAGACGTTTGCACAAATCAATATGACGCAAATGCCACCAATTGCGCAAACGCGATGCTGTGAGAGGAAAAGTGAAACCGTTTTTATGAAATCCTGACGATGACAGGGGCTATCAGCCTTAGATGTCAGCCTTGTGATACACGTTGATACGAAAATCCATGTTAATTCGATTACATTTCTTGTGGGTGAACTATATCTTCAATACAAGTTTAAACAACGTCAAACGAGTATCAACGGATTGGCCCCACTTTGTTGACACAATTAAGCACGGTCCCCTACTTATTATTAATGATGATTCGCTTCTGTAAAATTCGTATTCTTAAACTAACTATAATTTTGGGCAATTAGTTTAAAAATGTAACAAACACGTACATTTAAAACAAGATAAGACTGTCCAAGGATTTTGGCGCCATTTTCTCGTTTTAAGTAAAGGTTCTGAGATAAGATTCCTTCTGGAAGTTTGCGAAAAGGGACTTCAAAACAATTATATAAAGTTTTAGTTTTACGTTTAAAATAATAACACACACTTTACTTAATTGCAAATGAGCAAAGATATATTCATTCATAAAACCAATGATGTGGTGGTCGAACATGCTCGACAGCGAACCGATCCAAAACAACTGTTGGACGTCGTAGTTGCTGGTCACAGTGTTGCCAACAATCGCTTTTAAAATGAAGCCAAAAAAATCATTGTAGAAAATGCTTTGCGTATTTGTGTTAAGTTAACTATTATTGAACATAAAATACATTTTTTGTAAGAAAATTGTTAATCATTATGCATTGTTTTGTTTTTTAATCGTTGAAACAGTTTTTTTTATCCAGTAAGATTTTGATTTTAGCCAAATATTGAAACTAGTACAATCCAAGCCTTATCTAAAAAATGACAAATATACGTTTTTTTTACATCGTTCACAATAGTAAATTTCCGGACGACGGCCGCTAAAATAGCTGAATAGACAACACTGTTAACTGAACGCAGTTCGACCGCGTGTAGATTTTAGCATGAAGTCGGCCGCTACCACAGGCATACTCAATCCAACAGCTACTTTCAATTCGCCAGATACTTTCGTTGTGAACGGTCGTGTTTCCGTCGGAGAAGTTTAAAAGGAACCGAGAAAATTTAAAAATCGAAAATTATATTCTAACTAGTGTAAGATTGTGCCAAAGCTCATATATGTACGACACTGTTGTTTAAAGTGCAAATGATAGGCACCACAAAATATTATACGTGAGATGTCAAACAGTGTCTATTGATATCAAATTAGTCTTTGCAAATAAATTAATAATATTTACTGCAAAGCATTGTTTAAAACCGAGTTGTACCAATTTTGGATTACGCGCTTCCTCATTATTGCCATTGCGACCATGGCGAATACCCACCCAGAAAAACTCTTTATGCATCTAAACGCATTGGAATTAGCAGCTATTATTATGAAAGGTAAGTAAAAGACAATGCCACCTCTGTTGCACATTTAAGGTTTTTTTGTTGAAGTCGGATAATAATATAATAATTGCCAATAACAATAATTTTCTAGTTTTCTAATTAAACAAGGCAATGGTGGGCAAAAGCATCGTGGCAAAACAGTTATGGAGAAACGGATATCTGACGACATATTTTTTTAGTGGGGAGACTCCATCCAATGGACTCTATGCTCGTAACGCCTAAGACGATGCTGTATAATCGTAACATGAGCAGTTTTTTGAGGGTGGTAATTTCGATGCAAACATATACGTATATCTATTCAACTATTTGTCGCCATCGTACTTCAGCTTAGGGGTCGTGGCGCATATGTTCGCCAGGCACTTTACGAGCTGTACAGAATTTGAGACGACGAGTCGCCAGAAATATTGAACATTTGTCTGTTTGTGGAGCTGGAGTGCCATTTGGCCTCTCAATTTGTATCCTTTTTCCCCACCGCCTGCTGTTTGTAAAGCGTCCAAAGACAGAAGTAAACCTGATAGTTTGATTTACACAAAAATTGATTTTATATATTTAGTTTGGACTTTAACTTGTACCCAATTTTTGTACTGTTTTGTTTTCATGTTTTATATTTTATGCACTGTTAATAATTAACATTTCAAAATGAAATAGTCAACAGTGGCCAACCGTTTGGATAGGATTCTACTGACCGCGCTTTAAATCAATTATATTTACTGTGGTCATAGTCAAAAACAAAACAATAAACTGATAAAAATATTTTTAATAGGGTCCAATCTTAACTTGGTATAACTTCAGGTAGGACATCTAATTGGTCACTCTGCAGGATCCAGCATACTGCATCATCTGGTTGAGTTTTTGCGATTCATTCATAAAAGTGATGCGTCATTTTACTACAATATACACCATATAGTCGCATTTATGTCCGTACGAGTATATGCTCATGTTTTGATAAGACGAGGCTTCCCACACAGGGAACGCTTCCCAGTGGACCGACCGCCAGCCAAAAGCCGCCTGTGATGATAACCTTTCGATGACTTTTGGCGTGAATATGGGATTTTCTGATGCCTCTGACAGTTAATGTCTGCGGCTTTTAAGTGAGTTTTAGCGGATTTCCACGGGAGGGTATTCATTCTTAGAAAAAAGGGCGAATAACGGGAAAACCATTGCCAATTTTTACGCAGAAGTTTTAAGAATGGATTTAACGTACGGAGACAGATCAGATGCATTAAAATTAAAAGATTTCTGACCAAACAATAGGAAGAAAAACAAAATCGAAAATGTATATTAGTACTTAGTCTGGAATGATATGTTATTTCGGGGATCAACGTTTATAAACATTTATATTTATTTTTATTCGATGACACCATGGCAAGTAAAATTTAATTACAAACTGCCAGATTAATACATACTACTATAATTTACGGAAATTTTGAAAACATTAACAAAGTCAACTCTTGCACAGGTGTTTTAGCTTAGACTTTGCAAATGACGAAGAAGGCGTAAGGTACCATAAACATTTGTCTAATTATAAATTTTATACTGAGTATAAAAACCGCTTAAAACAGGGAATGGAGTTGGAGCTAAACCACTGCTGTTGTTTGTACAGCCTGATTTTGTGGCCGCCATGTCAGTCAGTTGTTTTGAATTTAGTTTCGTTGTTTATCAGTCTAAAATTAGAATAGATAAGTACAATAAAGTGCTTATAAATAGTAAAGTCAACATGCAAAAAGCAAATCTTCCGTAATGTGTATATTATTCGAATGTCCAGACCGACTCAGATAAATGTTAAACAAATTTTGTTTGCCGTATGTGTATACGGCGTTCTAAATTGCAAAGCAAAAAAGCAAGCACTCATTTAGATTTGCCGAACTGACAGCTGCTACTGTAATTAGCTATTGGAGGAAATTATATATTTTTACTCCCGAACATATCGAAATACTTATGTAAGACGTGAAAGATTCTACTCTTGAGTTCTGAGCTTGTACACTTGCAGTTGTAATCGCGAAAAAAGACACACATACATGATCGCTTATTTGTTTTGTGATTTTATAAATTGCTAACCGGGTTGTTGGCTCCTGATGCAGTGGCTGTCTGCTGCTGAACTTGAACTGACTTTATTTGCCAGACCTGAAATAAATAACTTTTAACAAGTAAGCTGCGTTTAAGCACCTTAGTACCTGTGGAGGTCAGTGGTAAACTGACGGGTGTGAAACAGGTTTCGTTTTTGTGAGCAATGCATAATTTCACTTAACATTATCGTCTTCGTTCGATTGTACTTGGCGTCTTAAGTAGATTAAATATAACGCATAGTAAACAGGACAACGAGTACGATAAAAATTAAAAGCAAGCTAATTAATAATATGTTTGTATGCGTCCATACCCTTTAAAGTTCGCACAGCTTGTAATAAAAAATAATAGTTTGTGATTTAGTAGATAATAAAATTTGAAAAGCTGAAGGGGTACGTACAATGGCAGCTAAGACAGTATTTGGCAAGTCTGTTCCGCGAAAACAGGGGTTTTTTGAATTTGCTAATCCAAAATACCAAAAAATTAGTAACCGTTTGGCGTATAACGTCACAGACAGAAGACAACTAACTCTTTAATTTTTTATTAATTTTAGATTCACCCAATTCCAACGACCGTGATGCGGGTTTTTGTTCCGCAAGTTCGGAAAGCGAAGGCGGTGAGGACCTGGCGCACGAGCACGCGCTCAGTGGCAGTCCCGACATTGGATCAAAAGGAACAGACAACTCGGCGGACTCTAAGCCAATTGCACTTACGCGTAACAAGCGGAAGAGTACGGAACCCTCAAAAGTGGTTGGCTTGCCTACAACCACCTCTAGTTCGTTGCCTGGCCCTTCGTCCATTGCGAGTATGAATGCTACGGGTCCGTTGAAAAAACGTATACGCTATACCTCTTCTGCTGATTCGGCGGTAGTGCTGTCACCTCCGGTCATAGACTCTCCACCACCCAACAGTTATTTGCCTTCCACGTTAGGCTCGGTGCAGGAAATTATGCCAAATCCGGCTCATATATTTGTCCGACATCCAGGGGTAACTACTCTTCACAGACCGTTTCTAGCCCATCCAGAACAGCTAGAACCACTTGCACTAGTGAGCAAAAAGAATCAAAGCGTCGATAATACTGCTTTAAGAACAGAGATTTTTGCTACTTTGAATGGAAAACAGCAATCTGCCAGAAAGGTGTTGCAAAAAAAGATGCACAATGTATCAACGTCATCTACAATGTTGGACGTCAGTCTTAGCGATGAGGATCTATGCAAGGCGGGATTGGCACTTGAAATGTCTATATCGCGACCTCAACAACATCAACGCAATTACAAAAATATGACGAGGGAGCGGCGGATAGAGGCAAACGCTCGTGAGCGGACCCGGGTCCACACAATATCCGCCGCCTACGAGACGCTCCGTCAAGCCGTTCCAGCTTACGCCAGTACACAAAAACTCTCTAAACTCTCCGTGCTGCGAGTGGCCTGTTCCTATATACTGACGTTAAGCAGAATGGCTGGCGAGGACTATAGTGCTGATCAATCGGAGCCATCCATTGCAGAGTGCTTGGAAGCCGTAACATCAACCATTCAGACAGAAGGAAAGGTGAAACGGAAGAAGGACGAGTGATCTGTCCAGTTTAGTCGATAGACACATCTTAAGACTATTAATGCGACTGATTATAGCTACTGTTACTAATCATCAAGTTTGCTTAAGCTAAGGATAATCCTGCATTCAGCATTCCTACTGTTAAAAATAGTTGAGTCCACAAGTGGCCATATAGCTTTAAAAGTTTTCAAGGCTTTGTTTATTTATACAAATTGGATAAGATTTATGTGGATAAAAGGGGAAACAATTAATGTGCGAAATATACTTTTTGAGTATGCATTCATATTTAATGAACTATATTTTGATATTTTTTAAAAATAAGTACCAGCAGGCACAGAAAATAGTCAACACCAACAAATTGAAAAGACAAGACATCGTAATCGTTATCTTAAAACTTTAAATGACAATAATGTTATCAAGATTTTTGTTTTAAACAGGACTCCTAATTTTATATGTTAAAACACTAAACAAATTTAAAATTATAAGAGGAACTTTTGCCAAAATGGGTACATTTTACTATACCTTTTAGACAATTTAAGATATATTATGAATAAAAATATGTATTTTTACAGATACCTCTAAACTAAGCACCCTATTAGAAAACTATACAATGTTTTTGACAAGCAATAAACTACGTTTTTTATATATTTGAGTAATGCGATCAACTAGATTACTTTATTTGCAAATGGATAGCGGAAATTAAAAAAAAAATGTTTATAAATATTTTCATGCTGTCGTAAAGAAGCTGTAGTTTGGTTTATCCACCAAACTAAATTTAAAAACCTCAAATATTTCATTCTGTGTATACTTATTTAAGTACAATTATCTTAAACTCCCAATTTGTAATCTCATTGTTTTATATACATACATGGGGTGGTAAAAAAACTTACTTTCACCGGTTTTATTATTTTAGATTTTGGTGTGCAACAAATGTTATTGAAATTATATTTTAAGCTTTAGGCGTTACATAATTGGTTTAAACTTTCCGCAACAGAACGTATGAGTGATAAACTTTCAAGGCAATTCGCAGAGCTTTAACGCATTTCTTCTAACAAATTTCCTCTGTTATGCCTTAATTGCACCAATGCACATAGTAAAGCCAGTGAGAGTAGGGTTTTAAATATTTATACAAATTAGACTGTCCCAATGTAGATATACATACATACGCATAAGTGCCATAGAAAATATAAAAATCTGACTGTCAAGGAAATGTAATATTTTTTTCGGGTTGTGTTGTAAATTGTTCGCGAAAGTCCGTATGGGGTTGACGATGATCCATTAGTCACTCTGGTACGAGTGCACTGACGATTGCAAGCAAGCACAAAAACCAAATGGGGGTGACGATGCTAAGGAGTAATTTATGTCTTTACGTTAAATAATCTTATCGTTTGCAACAAGCTATTTGGTGGTATTATAAACTCAACAGGTGCGCACAGAACGGCGGGCGATCAATCCGAGTACATCTGAACGCATCTACGTTATTATAAATGCGTTTTGGCACACCACAGACCCCTTATCAGGTTCAGAAATATGTTTGTCAGCTTATCAAGCAGGCGCAAAGTTTACCGATATCACAGTTGGTACATGCGCACCCATGACGTATTTAGAAACAACACAGCTTGGTTACCTATGCAAATGAATAATAAAGTGCCTGAATCTAGTTGACCCAGTGCAATATCCAGCACAAATTACATCAGCTTAGAATCCGATAGAAAACAGGTTACCTTCAGCAGTTTCTGATCAGCATATAATAACTAAAGCATAGGCGTTATTCAACAAAAATCAGGTGGTTGAGCTTGCACTGGCTTTTATTTCAGTATACCCAAATCACCATGTTCGTTGTTCTTAAACCTATTTAAGCAAAGTTTTATATATACAGTATTATAACAGTTGAACAGATTTTTTACCAATCATTTAGTCAATGAACCGTCTTACTCAGCTGTTCAACATTAATAAGAGAAGCGTCAACAGGGTGGCCCTCGAAAAGCTTGCGTCCTAAAATGGCTAAATGCAAGGGTTTGGCTATTTAAACAAGAAAGAAACTTAGATTTTATACCCTTGCAACCATAATCCGTTTTAGTTTCTAAAACGCAGGAAAGCTGTGATGATTTCCGATTAATATTATTTAAAAACATCTAAATTTTGGTTCATATGCGTGTATGCTTAAATACATTGAATTAAATAAAATAAAAAGCGTAATTCTTAAGTCTCAAACAATTACTATGGTCAATAGAAATGTTTGAAATTTAAGGAAAAAAAATGAGTTTAATGTTTTTATTCATCTATTTTTTTTTAATACTTCGATTGATATATTGGGCCGATTTTAATGAAATTTAAATCCTAATTCTGAAGTATTAAACAATTAAACCATATTTGGAAGAACTGTCGTTAAAAATGTATTTGATTTGATACGTATATAGGAACCTGAGATTCCTAAACTTTTTGTTTCTGAGAGAACATTTTCGAAAATTATTAAGCAACAAAAATGGCATTTTTCTCAGATCAGAGCAAGAAGTATTTTGTATAAATTTTTTTTCGTCACAAAATTTTATATTAGAAATTTTGTATATTGATGGCGCTTGTATGCTTTAGAAAAACAACTTTTGGGAACGTTTTATGTAGACAGCTTTAAGACTGAGAGAGTAGTTTACGTAGAAACGGACAGACGGACATGGCTAGATCGACTATCTTAATAATGCTGATCAAGATTATATACTTTATAATTTTTGTATTTTTTCTGAAGGCAGCCAACACAATGTCGAATTGGAATACGTATCCCTGTATTTGATATTTAGTCAAGTTTTTTATTTCAGTTTTTACTTGTTTTGCTTGTTTTTTTACTTTGCTTACTTGTTTACTTTGACAGCCTAAAAACATTAAAGAAGAGGACATCTTTTGCCACCTGAATAGGTGTGCTTAACTAAATGTGTCGACTGCTTGTACCGAAGCAAAAATTAGCATTTGTGTAAACAATAAAAATGAAATAAACTATGGAAAGTCAGTGCATCATATGTCGTGACGAGATGTTGTTTTAGTCGGAGCAATTTGAGAAATTGTTTCGCAAATATTGGCTTTAAGACGTCTAAAAATACCATATCCATTGTAGTCGCAGCTTTAAGGTATAGTAGACGTCAAATATTGTCTCACCTGTAACAGGTGTGGGCAACGTCTATTTTGGGTTGCGCGTGTGCAACGCGTTGGTGCGAGGGTGAGCCAAATAACTACGTATCGTCTTGGCATCACATGTTGATCGTACAAACGTGATCTTTTCATTAAATATGCGTAAAAATTAGCACGATTAATGTTGCCTGCACTACTTTGATAAATAACCAAAAAAGTTCAACTCGTTATAAAAGCAAGGCTTAAAATAGAAGCCAGCATATTGTTTACACGCTAGCTTGTTTGATTTTAGGTTTTTTGAGAGTTGAAGCTATTTTAAGCTTGCCAAATGCGGGTCAAAAAAGTTTGTCCTCCTGCAGTAGCTACTACTTAGACCTTGAAGTATTTTACTTAATTCCGGCAGGAGATTATATTGTATTTCAAAATGCTTGAAAACGCTTAAATTTTTATATTGACCAGCAGGTCACCCGATCTAGAATTTTATTGATTTACAAGAGCAACAACTTATAAGTGGATTTAATATTTTGCTATTGTATTCTTGTAGCAAATATATCGTTTAAGGGACTGATCTTTGAAAACATTTGTATACAACTGGCGTCACTCAAATAGAAATGCAAAATACTTTTCGCTGCGCGGAAAGTGTGAGGTAGAAAAAAAATCAGACTTTATGTGTGTTGACGTCGGGCACAAACGCGTACACGATTGGTTGGCGCCTAGATTGCAGTGCACAAGAGACAATTTTAAAATAAAACGAGACTGTCGGGGTTGTGGCAGTGCTATAGTTGACCAAGCTAAACGTAAAAAAAAAAAATAAAGGAGAGAAAGGAAAGCCATTAGGCGACACGGCGCGACGGCTACTTTTTATTGCATGCCAAATGTAAGTCTAGCAATTGTCGTGTTAAATATATTAAAATAAAGTGCACATATCTAACCGTGTATAAGAAAATTACATAAATCTAAAATTTCCCTAAGGCACAATAATACATCTGATTAAATCAAGAGTGGCGTCTGAGGTTAATCTGCAACTCACAATGGATTTTCTTTGATTTTTCCATTGACTAATTATTGGGCCATTTGTGATGTGAGACACACATTGCCGATCAATTGTCACGTAATTTGCAGCAACTTAAAAACAGCATACCTGTCTCCGATTGCTTTTTTATTTGGAGAACGTAAATGACGTTGTAGGCATTAACCTAAAACAAGAAAGAAAGCAAACTATATACCCTTGCAGACATTGCAAAAATTAAATACAATGTTAAAATTGTTTCATTTTTTTCTTAATATTCCGATTGTTTGGAGCTATATGAGTCGTCCAATTTTAAAAATAATAAACGGACACTCCTAATGATGCTGATCAAGAATCTATATATTTTATAGGGTCGGAAACGGAAAGTAACACTTTCAAGGACTTGAAAATATGTCGTCAGTCACAACATAATTATTTATAATTATTTTTTCGGTATACTCCAAATACTTGCTTGCGTCCCTTGAGTTTTTATAGTTATATAATTTAACAGTTAAACACCGAAATCAAAATGCTTTACATAAACAATCACTACGAAAACAACTGTAGTGTTGCTAGTGCTGGGAATGTCTCAGTAAAATAATTTATATCTGGAAAACATTAGTGCGTCATAAATAAAACTGATGCAATATGTACAATAAATTGCGAGATGAATAAGTAACGTTTTAGAAGCTGTTTTTGCTATTCCATTCATACCAAGCTCAAATAACAAACACACTTAAGATTTTGGTATCCTAGGTCTCTAGAATACCACCAGATGGCAGCACTCCATTTTCTGTTTATTTTGTTAAAGTAACCACCAGACATTCTGGTAATTGTGACATCACATCAGTGTTGCGCATCTCTCATCCTCTTATCTTGAATAATGAATCCTGTCAAAGCAGTTTAGTTCAATCGACATTTTACCGTATAGGCAAGCTGACGCCACCTATTTGCGCAACTACACTTACACATTGCTACTGCAACCATATGCATCCACTTCAATTGCATTACTATCGCTAAATTCTTACCATCCCAGTGAAAAAGAATCAGCTTGGACGGTCATGCAAAAGCAATGGCGCCACCCTTTCTATATGCCCTGCTAAATCGGATTATCATCTTACAAATGAAACACAATAAATACTTCAGAATTTTAATTTTGTTAAATTCGGCCGACTATGTCATATATCATCATATATCATTGGAACAATCATAAACAAAAATAAAAAAAAACAAGAAAGAAGGCAAACTTTGGCAAGCCGAAGTTCATATATCCTTGCAGCTATTGCAAAAACTAAATATTCTTGAAAACATTAAAATTATGATTTACTTGCGTGTATATTTAAAAACATTGAAGCTATGATGATTTGCAGCTTAATTATTTGATAGTTCCTGTGGCAGCTATATGATATCGTTTTCCGATTTTAATAAAATTAAAAGCATAATTCTGAGCTGTCAAATTGATAATACGACAAAAAGAATTAAAAAAGAAAAAATACAAAACAGAAGAGTTTATTGTTTCCATGGGATCTACCTGACATAGTCGTCCGATTTTAATGAAATTTAAACTGTAATTCTGAAATATTGAACTATAACTATATGTCGAAGAACTAAAAAAAATTAAAAAACAGCAAAGTTATAATTTTTTTAAATTTATTTTTCCGATTGTTCCTATGGGAGCTGTATGCTATATATTACCTGCAATAGAAAGACAACTTTTGAGAAAGTTTAAAACTGAGAGACTAGTTTGCGTAGAAACGGACGGACAGACTGACAGACGGACGGACAGACGGACATGGATCGACTCTCCTAGTGATGCTGATCAAGAATATATATACTTTATAGGGTCGGAGATGTCTCCTTCACTGCGTTGCAAACTTCTGACTGGAATTATAAACAACAAAATTCGCTGTTTTTAATTTTTTTTTGTAAATATTATTTGGCTTAATATTTTAGAATTTCGGTTTTAGTTTTATAAAAATAGGCCGACTATCTCGTTTATTATTTTAGCATTTCTTTTATTAATTTTTTTTTAAATAAAAGCGGACAACGTTCTAATATAGATGCTATGGAAACAATTGATCGAATAGTTAAGCGGAAAATCATCATAGTTTTACTGTTGGTAAACATATTTAATAAATATTTAAACTTCAGCTTGCCGAAAACAAAAGCTCGATGGAAAACTAAAGTTAAGATATTTTTTACCGTTAAGGGAAAACATTAAAAATTTTTTGTTTTAAAATGGTAATGTTTTGGGGCATTATTATAAATGGATCACAAAATTATAACATTTAGTGTGAATTTCGAATGCCATATGTATTAAAGTTTTACATTGTTAATGTTTCTAGTTGGTTATCCGCATTTATACTACGCTGCCTTGAATCAAATATAAATAGTTATGAACTCAGTCGTTGGGGATTGTATGGGCGAAATTATGCTACTGAAATTCTTGAGCTCCGAAAATTGAAAGACCTGCTTTATACCAGAAAACAAGTTAGCGAAGAAACAGACGCAGACGCCACTGCCTGCTGGTGGACGGCATGGCAACGGCAACACCGAAAAAGGATGCAAACGAACGATGTGTCCAACTACCATATAAAAATATGCAATCAAACGAGTGTAAGATTGATCTCGGGCGATGTTCTGAGAAATCGAGAGCCGATGCTTCAGTCTGATCGTTTGTCCCTTAGTTGGACATGCACACATTCAAACATGCCGGTATAAATACAGCATTTTTAAGGCAGGAACGAGCGCTCTAAATGTTTTTTTTTTTTGGAAAAATAACCGGCATCTTCCCGTATTGCGAATTGAGCACGCACATCAGTGGGCAAGGACAGTGAGACTGAAATGCAAATTAAAATATTTAAACATTCGAAGCTTGCCTTCGTCAATTTATTTATTTTAATAAATAAGTTTGTTTGCAATGTTTACAATGGATAATCATTTTATTTTAATAAATACAAAAAAAAGAAACTCGTTAAGTTCATACGGACAGACAGATCTTGTTCACCTGTTATATATTTTTCAACGAACACAACATACCCTATTACACACTCTACGAGTAACGGAGGTAATTATAAATGGATTTCGCCCCAAGTCGCACTTCCAATCTTAAAGTGTCCTTCCTAATCCAAGGTCCACATAAAAGGCTACTGTCATTTCGTTGGTACGTAATTGATTCTGACAGTGCGAACTTGCATTGTCACTGCCTTCCGATCAGTTAGTCTGACTCAACTGGATTAGCGCATGCACATGATCATCATACATATATGATATGCGCTGCAAACTGGAAAAAGTGATTGATTTTGCGACCTTTTTTTCCAAAGGCGTCCCCAGCAGTCCCAGCTCCAGGCACCAATTTTTCGATAACATTGTTTTTCGACGGTTTGCAATTCGGCCTTCATGGCAACGAACAGTTTGTTTCGCTGGATGCTTACTTCGGCAAAACTGGTCGCATTCCGTTGACCATTTCAAACAAACGGCAGTGGCAGCTGCTGTGGAAGGCCCAAAGGCACAGTATCACCAAGGAAAAACAGAAGGAACAGAGGACAAAACCTCAATTGAAGTTTAATTTAGAATTTACCCAAAGCCACCGCACCGCGGAGGCATTGATTGCGCAGTGTTCTGTGTGACACGAGTACACAGTCAGAATATTGATAAGCTTTACTTATTTTTTGCCGGCTGGTTAAGCGGCGCAGGCCTGCGAGGACAACATCATGTTGTAAATTGGTGCGAATGCATTTGTTACTGATTATTTCTCAGCTCAGCTCTGCCCGCCAGCCCAATTTAATGCCAGTTGATTGGTCGTTTTTTGTCGGAATGTTTTCAATCTTACTCTGAATTCTTCAAACTTAAGGGAACGCCGTTTTCGTGAACTAAACTTATATCTCATTAATTTTACATATTAAGTGCTCAACCATACAACGACAAACAGACGGACATGGCTAGATCGACTCTCCTATTGATCCTGATTAGGAATATTCATAGAGTCGGAAACGCTTTTTTTAACAAATACAATTTATACAAACTCCATTAGTAAAGAAAATAATATGGAAAGTTTACTTAGGAATGTGTACCTATTGTTGTGCCTAATATTGGACCTAAAATATAAATATATCTTTATTCTTTTATAACGTACAGACATGGCAATATCAACTTGCCAAGTGATGCTGTTTAGCGAAGTTCAAACTCTGTCATAAGTAATCCATTTCATTAGCATTATGGTCCAGGACAAGCGAGGCTCCAACAAACTTGAACCATAAATAATTTGTTTTTTCTTGGCAAGCGCCTGCATATTTCCTTGGGAAATATTTTCAGGCTTGGCTTATTTAGCCGCTTTTTGCTGGCCATGACAAAACAATGTCAACTGTCTAGGGAAACACATGTAGACATAAACGTCAATTGAGTACAACCTGATCAGTGACGACTCTGGCAAAACGGCCATACTGAGTCCTTAATCGATTATCATTTTTAATAATCAATTTCCGAGGCTCTGCAAGGGGCCAGAAGCGCGGACTGGCTGGCAAAGCGGCGTCTACTTTTGCTACCCGTGCTGCTTATGGGCAGACGCTCACTTGACGTCGACAGCACCTTGACATTTATGAGCTGGGCGCTGCGCGGTGCCCTAAGCCTTAACTCCAGAGCGCAGACCTATTTTAGTTGCAGAGTACTTGGTGCAGCCATGTGTGTTTGGTAGGTAAAGATCGAATCAAAATTCTTTATTTGGATATTGTTGAAGTCCTTTGTTTTGCCTTGGCTAACATTGCAAGTTGCAACAAGAAGGAACTCTAAAGTCGAATGCTCCGACTTTTAACAATTATTATTCCGATCGTAACGAGTAGTACACGAGCTATAACTAAAGGGATTGCAGACCAAGACTTAAGGAAAATTATTTGGTTCAGGAGAAAGGGCGATGAAAGCGAAACACTTCTTTTTTTTTAAGCTCTTAATCGGTTTACCGGCTGATTTTTGAAGTTAATAGCTTGTTAAACTCGAGAATGTTTCATCTTCAAGATAAAATAATACAACTATTTTCGGTTTTCAGGTGTGAATTTTTTAAGAATTAATTTATGTTGTCGGAATTTCAGTTTTACCAATTTATTCAAAGTTTGTCGAGTTCTAGCGCCTATATTCGGAAACCTCCTTAGCAGAACTGGAGATAAAAAATAAAATTGGATTGAAAACCAGGTGAAAAACGTTATTTAACGGAATAAGACCCCAAACCACCGATGAGGTTTTAATAAATTTGATAGACAAGTGGTTTCGAATAGTGGTTTAATAGTTAAACCTTCCAGAGTTGAAAAAGTAAAGGGTATATTGTATTCATTGAAAAGAATGTAACAGACAGACATGGCAAGATTGAGTTGGCTATTTATCCTGATCAAGAATATGTATACTTTATAGGGTCGGGAAACGTTTATTTGTTACATTCTTTTCAACGAATACACTATGCACTCTTACTTTACGAGTAACGACGTGGTTTTAATAAATTTTATAAACAAGTTTTTCGAATAGTGGTTTAATAATTAAACCACCCAGAAGGGGTGTGGCTAGTAATAGTTTTGTTTTAAGTTACGGGTCTCCTGTGCGCTTCCAGGCACTCATAGCTCGCTCCACAGCCGTACGGCCTTCAAAAGAACGTTGCAATTAAAAGTCGCAAAATTATCTGGCAAAGTGTATTTCATTACCTCGTTGTTGCTTTTTAACCATTTTGCTGGATTCGATTACCACTTCCCAAAGCTTAATATCTCCACGGATATTCACAATATCAACACAATCGGGCTTCATTTGGTACTTGAAGTGAAACAAGGACTTGTTGTTTACAAAAATCTCGTAGTAGCTATCTCGGCATACAATTACTATGACAAAGGCGCCGCCTGGTCTAAGACTTGTATTTAGGCGGGACACTGTACAGTTCACCCACTCACCATTTAAATAGGCACGTCTTGTGATTATAGCCTTACCGATTTTATCATGTCTACTTCGCAAGAAGCAGGGGCTAAAATAAAACGAAACTGTCGGTTGCGGCCAAATTTCCTGTCCTTTCTGGAACGCTATACTGAACCTTTGGGGCATTAAACGTACACGTCCTTCGATTCGAAGTGCACATCCGTCAACGAGGATCTGATCTTCCAACAGCTTTCCATAAAAGGGAAGGGGAAGGCTTGTCTTATACAAGTACTTTTTAGATGACATTTTTGCTAGAGAAGACAAGACAATCCATTCGCTTTGTAGGTTCTGTCCATCCTGGAGAAATTTTGTAACTGCCGTATCGTATAGATATGGAATAGGTCGAGGCAATGAATGAGTTAGGCGTATAGGATACTCTGACACGTAGTACGTATCGATTACAATATCGGAAACATCCCCAAGAACGTCTACAGCTTCAAGCCACCGATAAGGCATACGGTGAATATATTTTGCAAAATGAAAGCCATTCACTGAAATGAAAAAGCACTCCTCAGTAAGCAATATTTGCATCCAAAAAGATTTTCCACGGTTCAGTTGAAATGTTAGATATGATGAATTCTCCTCGGGGCCCCACTTTCCCATTAGCCGTGAGTTGCGCGTAATATAGTTTTGAGGAAGTCGTGATCCTATTTGGAGCAGCACATCACAGTCGTCGCATATTTCACTTCCCTGTTTTGTCAGAAAATCTATGGCAAAATGCTCACATGCACTAAGAATCATTCCGTGAAATACGAAACACAGTCCTGGCCGTGGACATTGGATAACCATAAAGTGTTTGCGCCGGTGTGCCGCTGAACGCTTTTCATAGAACAACGACATAGCATCCATGACGCGCCTTAAAGCCACGGTCCCAGCTCCAGGATAGACGCTCATAAACTTGCTTTCCATTTTTAACGTCTGTGCATAACTATGGAATAGTTGAATAAGATAGTTATTAAATATAAAAAAATCGATTCCTTACCTTAAATAGAACATATATATTTTGACGCTATAGTAAACGACACTCAGCCACACTCAAAAAAAACAGTGCTGAATTAAAGGACGTTCGTTCTTGTTTTAAGCACGATGGTCTTAAATATTGCATAGCACACTGGGCTAGCGGGCCCGAAATTTGGCCACAAGTCGGTTTTTTTTAGAAAATTATTAAAATAAGAATGTGACCCTTTTTAATATACATAAAGCTAATTTATGCCAACATAATTTGTTTTTTTTTTTTATATATTTTTAAAAATTCAAGCTTATGCAATATTGAAAAAAAAAACAAAAAATCTAGTGAAAAGATACTTAGCTGATCAAAATGCTTTAGAAGTCTTTGAAATTGATAAAGGTACCCTCCGAAAAGGAAGTGATTCCTTGAAATATAAGTTCGTTGATCAATTAACTACCAAAATCACCCGCCGATTTGGCCCGGTTTCGATATAATTTTCGAGAATCGCGGTTTTAAGTATGAACTGAATTTGAAGGATAAAAGATTTAGAAGTCTTATCCAGCACCCTGCCCAAAAAAATGCTGCATCCCTTATACCTTCTTATACAAGAACTAATCACAAACACTAAACAAAAACATATGTATAATAAAACATACACTGAAGGATCGTAAGGCGTTTTTATGATGAACATTTAAATATTTAACAAATAAATAATTGTTTTTTAGACATTGAATAATGTAGATGCAAAGAAAATGAAATTAAAACAAGAACGGAAGAAAGCTTCGGAAAGCTGAAGTTCATATACCCTTGCAGATATTTCAAAAATGAAATGTTTTTGAAGGCTTTTAAATTTTGATTTATTTGGGTATTTGTTTAAAAATATTGAATCATAAAATCATGATTTTCAGCTCAATTATTCAAACGTTCCTATGACAGCTATATGATATCGTTTACCGATTTGAATAAAATCAAAAGCGTAATTCTGAACTATTAAATTATTACTGTGTCGAAAAGAATTAACTTTATTTTTTTTTTTTAATTATGTAAGTCTTCCCATGGGAACTGTATGATATAGTCGTCCGATCCGGCTCGTTCCGACTTATATACTCCCTGCAATAAATAGACAACGTTTAGGAGATAGCTTTATCATGCTAACAAAATTCTCATTTTAGTAAAATAAAATTCTTGTTTTAAGTACAATCATGTCTAAACTTAAGAGCAATTGAACTTAGTACTTAATCGTACTAAAATCGAGAATTTTCGGACTTAATAAATTTGATTTGAGATCAGAATTTCGATACCTACAACATTCAAATTGATAGATTAATTTTTTTTATAAAAGATGCCCTGTGTATTCAAAACATAAACAAATTTCAAATGTTTTAACTATTTTATGTGCCCAAATAAGTGCAATAAATAATTCCAACATACAATATAAAAATTTGGTTGTCGTACCCGTAACTTTAATTGTTAACAACAAAAAATGTTACATTATTTAAAAAAGATTATTAATAAACTGCCTATAACTTAGTTATTGTCGGCTTAACTATTGAGACAAGAAAAATAAAAATATATAACCCTTTAGGCTGGTTTTTGGAACCACAAATATCTAGAACTCAAAAGTGTCCAAAGGGTTGTGATAGACGCGCACATTCTTTCCCTTAATAAGTGGGTTTTGTTCCAGCGTTACATTCCATAGTTTAACATCACCTTGTATGTAGACGGCGTCAACCAGCCCAGGGCTGACTTTATATTTAAAATCCGTCATAAATATCCGATTGACATACACCTCATATGCAGTTTTGGTACACACGATGGCCAAACTAAAAGTTCGACCGGGACGGAAGTTTGTGTCCAACTCAGAACGTTCTTCTTGTGCCCAACCACCATCAAGCCAGGCATTACGACACACCACCGCCTTTCCGATGGCTCCGCTGCTTGCTTTCGTAAAGCGTGGATTTAAGTGGAATGCTATGAGTGGATGTGGCCAAATATCCTGCCCTTTTTGTAGGTTTATATAGAAAGAGTGAGGCAGCAGGCGAACTCGTCCTTCAATCTTTAAGCATCGACCTTCGACCAACGAATTTGGCGGCAGTGCCCCATAATAAGGCAAGGTAAGCGCAAGATCATTTAAACTGTTGGTACTCTTTGGCGGACTGCCCGACTGTGTAATCGGGGCGCTAATAAGGCACCACTCATGAGGTATTTTGACAGTCTCCTCGACGCTAGAATCAATTTCATTACCATCATTATCTATGTGGAGCTCAATGTTTTTCGCCTCCGACTGGGGAAGTCGTTGAGGATAGCTTAAGACCAAAGTTCGCTGCATTTCTACGTTACCCACATCGCCTTTGACTTCCAGGATTCGGACATCTCTATAGGGAATTCGATGAGTGTATGTTGCAAAATGCTGACCATTTACCGATATCATATAGCACGCATCAGTAACAAGTACTTGAATAGAGAACTTGTCGCCGCGACTTAAAAGAAAGGGCAATGCCGAGGAAACTTCCTCGCTGCCCCATATGTCCTGCACTTTGGTGTTACGAACAATATAGTTTTGGGGCAACCGTGGATTAATGTGAAGCGCCACATCTCGAGTCTCGTTGTTATGAACAAGATTGATGGAGAATCTGAGGAGGATAGGTTACAGTTTAAAAATAAGTCCCATCGACTTTTCATTTAGCTTACCTCTCGCAGTTTACTGCTAGATAACCGGTAACGGTGAAACTAATGCCTTCGCTTATTTCGCCAATTTGGTCGTTGAAGTATTTTGGCACTGCATCTGCATATTCGTAGAATGAGGCCTACAATGCGCATTCCATGAACAAAATATTAAAACCATGGGTTAAAAATAATGCAACTGAATTCTTTTTTCGCGAGTTCATGGAAAATGTCTAGAAGAGACAACATAGCAAGTGGTCGGGCCTACTGACTTTGAAATCTAGCACCATATATGGGTCGCCAACTCAATTACAATGTAATCGATTTAATGCGTACATGTACGTTAATTCTTTATCATCAACATTAATTCATTTAGTGTTGAAAATATATTGTTGGTTTTTTTTTATTGAATTTCCAATTTTATTCCATTATAATTAGTCATTTCCTACATATAACAACATTTAGTTTCTATACAAGGTGAAGGAAAAACCTCATACAAATGTTCACTGCGTGCTTACCTCATTCAAGCCGCCCTTTTTCGGTTTGGCACAACAGCAAAGCATTTTTTCACACAAAACCATTAGACACATTTTAAATCCGTTGGAGTTGACAATAACCTTAAACTAGAAAACTTTATGCCCGTCTTTGTCAAAGTAGGAATATCTTTATATCGACATGATACACTAGGTTAAAAATGATTCATCAACGTCCTTGTCTGCCGCGCACTTTGAATTCACTTTTAAGTTTCAATATTGAGCTAAATTTGCGACTACAAAGTTCTAACTACAAACTTCAGAAGCCAGAAAAAATATAAATAAAAAAGTTCTTTTTGGCCGTTATTATTATTTGTTCGATTGTCTCCCGTTCTGCGAATGACTTGCTCGAAGAGAACGAAAACTACACCGCTATGAAAACGCCAAAAAGCTTTTTGAACTCGCAAAACAAAAGTCCCTGTATACCGATTCAAAATAAATGTACAAACATAATGCAAAGCAAGCAAGCCGCTGATTCAGCTTGTATCAATAGCTTATCGCCAAAGTAAAACATGTCAACAACTTTACATAATTACAGAAAACTGCTTAAGTTGCCTCGTCTGAAAGTATAACAAAAAATCGAAGCTTGCCTGCCTGTCACTTTTTTTTTCCCGCGACTGTGTTGAACAGCTGTTTAAAGCTCCCCTAACAATGCGAATCATGGGAATTACTAACGGGCACGCTAAATGTCAGAACAAAGGCACAAAAAGAGAGGAACGTGAGTACAAGCATGAGAATGTACTGACTGGGTGCCTCTCTCTATGTAAAAGCTTGACACCGATTGGAAAGGCACACATATAGGAATACACTTTAAGATAGCGGTAAAGATTTCGGATTACGTACTTCAAATTCTTTACCATCCACCACCTCGATGTCGTTGAAGCAATCCAACGGTGCTTGGTGCCGCCCCTCCGACTGCTGAAACCTTAGGTGCAACTCTTTCCTTGTATTATCAAAGGCATCCACATTTTGGCTACATTCTGCATGCGCCTCAAATGCTGCAAAATCGATGTCTGTCCTCCGCTGCATTGAGTCAGAGTTATTTAGGGATTGACGCAACCAGAACTCCTGGCAATGAAATCGAAACAGTTGCAAGCGTCGCTTGATGCGGTAATAGTGTAAACTTCGCTCAATATTAAAGGCGTTCTGCCACAGCGCATCAGAGAGATCGACGAGTTCGCGAACGGAGTGGCAGACCAGGAGTATTAGTGCCGTCATACTAACCAAATGAAAATAGGGTTAGAGATTTTACACGATGCAGATGCGGTTCTGGGGAAGCTTACGCTCTTCTCTGCCTCTTCAGTTCTCTTACTCTCTGTGTGGGATTCAGCGCGTACTTGACAGTATGTCTATTTGTGAAACCAATTTCGTGTGGCTATTGCAGTTTATTATGCCGTACTGTTCTGAATTACTTTTTATGCTGGTCTGGCCGAGGCCACCTATGGCTTAAATCGTTTTATCGACCCCGAAAATAGCTATTCCAAATTTGATAACGTGCGTTGTCCACGCATACAAACGTTCCTATGCGTGGGACATTCATATATATATATATACATTGTTCATACATATGTACATACATACCTACTTTTCTACATATTTCTATATCTGTAAAGGCTGTCTGTCACAACTTTGTTATCGAAAATGCTAAGGCTATTAGTCACCAATAAAATACCACGACTTTTGCGATGCGCAGCAATTAATTTACATTAACTTACCTCCTCGTTCATAAACCGCTGATAGGTTTCTTCCTCGCAACGTTTCCGTTTTCCACAGCAGCAGTTCATCTTGACCTCTAAAGCAAACCGATTTTAAGAAAATAAATTTCGCTACATTTGTGCATTTCACGACTAAATCATAATCGCAGGTCTCATCAGTCGATCTACAAGTGTTTGCTAATTTTGTCCAGTGTTCATTCAAGATGAATGCTAATATTAAAATATAAACACTAGTTTTTCAGTCTTAGAATCACTGGGACAGTTTCATCTAAAAATAAATCACAATGCTCAATTATAACAACCGCTACCCGTCGCGAAGCTTTTCGAACTGATATTTTGGTTTGCACATTTTCAACAAATGAGTGATAGACTCAGACAACGTGGTGTGGGTGAAACGGAGATACATTAATATGTAAATAAGCATGAACATGTTAATTTTTCTCAGAATACTACTAAATGTTTTACTTTACATTAAACGAAGGAGTGTGTCAATTACATTTTCAATTAATGAATTTCTTACAACTGTTATAAAATGCAATAAAATGTTTTTATTTTAGCTCACAACAGAAATAAAGCAAACATACGTCGGCAAAGCGAAGATCATATAACCTTGGAACTAAAACAAAATTGTTGAGTTCTTTAACGACTTTTTAACGATTTTCATAGAATAAACGTATAGAATGAACGATCCTTTCAACATATATTTTCTACCTGCAATAGAAAAAAGCTTACGAAAAAATTGTATTCAGACAGCTTTAAAACTGAGAGTCTAATTTTCGTAGAAGCGGCGGGACAGCAGGATATGGCTTTATCAACTTGTCTAGCGATGCTGACCAAAAATACTACGGCAGCAAACTTTATACTGAACTTATAATACTCTTTGTAAGGGTAACAAAAGAATAATGTGGATTCCGTTTTCTTAAAATTGTATAGACTGCAAAATAAACTTTTCATCAGCTTATATTGTTTGCCGTGAAGGTCAATATCTGATTTTAATTGTTCGACTTCCAGTAAGCGTGGTAAAAATTATTGATCTAGTCCAAGTATATACACCGCATTTTTTTTAATTGCTTAGGTAGGTAACCAAAAATAAAAATAAAAATTGTACTTCAACAGCTAAATTAATAAACTAAATCCAAAACATAATCTTTCCTATATGTTCTGTTTGTTTCTTTAAAGTATGTTGTGCATTTTATGTTTACAAAGTCTTAAAGGTTAATTTAAACATATTTATTTAACAAATCTCAAAAAATACTTAAGGGCTTATTAAAGCAAATTAAGAGTTTACCAAACATGTTCCGTTTTTAAATAGTTGCACTATTCTTATTTATTTATTTACAAACTGTAGGATTAAAGTTTGCACTCTTCTTAACTTAATACGATTTGTGAACTTTAGACATTGCTTATGTTAGTTTTAATATAACTAAAAAAGATGTAACATTAGCGTGTACATTGTACACAGATAATTTTGGATAATGACGGCACTTAGCAGCATAAATTTTTCAAAAATTAACCAATATATTTCATATGATAAATAAAATCCATTTTTTTTACTCAACGCTGACGTGTCGAGCGCGTACCCATGGCGTGCTGCGATTTAGGAGAAGGTCCTTTATAATACTTTGATAGGGTCTTGCTGGTGCGGGTCGGGCGATTGGCACTGCTACTCCCTTCCAAAACTTTTTCTGCATCTGCCTTTAATGGTAAATCATCATCTTCTTCCCACCGATCGCTTTTTTGTTCTTCACCGCCAGAATCCTCGGTTGCGGCATTTGCCTTGGATTTACGGCTTCGGCGGTTTCGCGACGAGGAAGAACTAACATCGGTACGATCCGATTTATCACTGAAAATGTTATTAAAATTTAAGATGTTATCCCCATTCAAAACATGTTTAACTCACTCTTTAACCGAAATCTTGTTTTCTTCACCAGCTTTTGAGCCACGGTTTAGGAGAGCAAGCTCTCGTTCAGCAATGGCTTTCTTGTGCTCATCTGCTGATTCGGCCGCGCTCAGCTTTGTCGTCGAATCTGCCAGTTGCTTTACTGGTTCTTCCTGCTTGCCCCGCTTCAGCTGCTGCTGATGCTCCTGGGCCTGCTTTAATGAACGTTTTAGGGCACTTCTAAGGGTGTCGCGTGAACTCTCAGGCGCAACGTCTTTTCCTAGCTGAGGGAGACCAATCGCCTCCAAAAGCTTTTGGCCAAGCGCAGCTTTAACTTCCGATTTGCGAATTATTGCAGAGCCTGCTTTGCTATCTTCAGTATCCCCAACCGTTTCAATCTCTGTGGCGGACTCAGTTACTTTAGTGTGTTCTGCATTTTCGGCTAGCACTTTGGAACCGTTTGTGGCTTCCGAAACGGTACTTGTGGGTGCCTGGGAAGGCTCGACAGTACATTCTTTACTTGATGATCCTTTTTCAGTAACCATTTCTGGTAGTTGCCTTAATAGAGTTGCTTCTGGACATTGGTCTTTTGGCATCTTCAGAGTGTGTGGTTCCCTCTTCTTAGACACAGCGACTTCAGATGGTTTTAACGATTGAATGACTGTCTTCCGTCTTTTGACAATTTGCCGTGCTCCTGCAACTAATGGTGGTTGGGTTTGTGGAGAAAAGTGATCGGCTTCTAAAACGGCTTCTAGTGACGGTTGGGGCTCAACCAGCTGAATATCCTCCAAATTAACTACGCTGCTAGAACCACTGCGCCGTCGACGAGTATTCCGCTGCTCTTTCGATTCTTGTTGCTGCTTTAGCAGCGAAACTAACGCCTCGTTAAGCGCGTCTGCTGGATTTGATCCGAATTGTGAAATGAGCATTGCGTTGATATTGGATAGTTCGTTACTAACATGAGCTGCATTTGAAGTTGTAGCAGTCATGGTCAGGCTCGTCTGATAACCAGCCGATAGATCACGGACACGCATCTTCCTTTGTGGACGTTTTACTGGTGAAACGCTAACTGCCTTGGTGTTTCGTAATGGCGGCGGTTCTTGCTCAGTTGGACTGGAAGGCACTAATTGAACCGACGTCTCTGGCGGCAGCTTGTAAGGCATTGCGCTGGATAAGTCAGCTAGGTTTAGTATATCTTTTGTCGTCTGCGAAGTATTGGTGGCAGGTGTTGACGCGATAGTTGAAGAAAATGACTGTTTGTCCTGTTGTTGAACAACCGACAGCATGGGGGCCAAATATGGCCCTAACAGCTGAGTGAGATCTGTGTCTTGTAGGAGATTGTTGTCTGACATAATAAGAGCAAACTTTGAACTCTTTAAACGTGTCATTTGCTCATCGCAATTTTCTGTTGTCACTGGCCACTTTAGTGCCTTGAGAATAAGCATCAACAAGTCTGGATCCCTTATAACGCTTCCCAGGGAAATCGCATCAGTTAGGCTTCTAACAGTGGGTATTGGTTTTGACGGAGCTTTAGCTTGCGACTCAATCGATAAAGTTAGGTCGAGAGTTGCAGGCATCGTCTTGGGGATACTGGGCACAATTTTCTTTAGCTTTGTCGGCGGTGTCTGGACAATAAGTTCGTCATCTTCCTTTTTCTTTTTTGGCGCCGCGAAGATCATGTGCTCCGGCAGAGCTTCCTCCACTGAAGGTTCGTCTACATATTGGGGTACCAGGGTAGTTGTAACCAATGGCCTAATATCTTCAGCTATGTTTCGGCTCTGTGCCGACTTAAGCAGTGACACCTGTCCGCTACGTATTGCTTTAATGTTTTTCAATGTATTTTTTAGATTTCTACTTTTTTGTTGAAAGACGTTGCTGGGAAGATTAAGCATTCCTATATTGCTGAGGTTGGAAGTTGACTCATTAGAAGCTGTGGTCTCCTTTCTGGTACACGTCCCGTTGTTTTCTTCTGCTAAGTCGTCTTTGCCCACCGCAGGCACATTCCCAGTTATGCGTCCATGCGTCTGAATGAAATTAATTACTCCTGCCGGCGATAGCTTCGTCTCTAGACTGTTCTTTGTGGAATTGGAAACCGATGGCTCGAAATTCAGAGGCACCAAAGACGGAAGATGCTGCATAGAGCGCTGTGCGATTGACATGGGGGCCGATCCGTAGCGACTATCCACAAAAACGCTGTTGCGACGCACCGGCACATTATTGCTATTTGCTGTTTCGGCGGCATTGCCAATGGCAGAAGGTGAGGAACCACCAGCTAAGCCAGTTTCGCAGTACGGGTCGAACCGTGACTCCCTGGATTTACTGGTGACCACGAGAGTATCCCGAGGGCGACCGCCCGCCTGGGGCTTGGACACTGACACTGCGATAGAAGTCTCTGGTGCACGGGTCAGCATAATGGGTCGGAATTCATCGATTTGCGCCTGGTTTTTCTCGTTTCGCACAGGGATCTGGGAGGCGGGTGGAACGCTGAGACGTGCTGCAGCTGCTTCTCTCGCATTCTTTGGCTAAAAGTTTAGATTGGTTTGTGAGCTTTAAGGTGTCAGAAGTAGAAAATTGCAATTAAGTTTACCAGTGTGCTCAATAAAAAGTCCTGAAACACAAGCTGAGTGTGTTTGGCTATATTCGAGAGCGATGCCGTGGCCTCCACCTGTCGGTAACAGGACTTACACAGAACTTTTGGCAAGGGATCATCTTCAGCCACCTAAAATGAAGTGAATAATGAATTATTCCTTTGTAAGCTTGTACGTCTTGGGTTGGCGTATGAAAGCCTATCCATTTCTATACACTTTTTGAAGCTTTCCACTTAGTGGTGACATCCAGGGCTAGCGCACAACAGTTTTGGTATTTTTCCAGGGTCCGTACTAAATATGCCGTAGCGCGATCGAACTGCCTTAGTTTGTGTTGAGTTTCTATTTACTTACATTTAGGTAGAGATGGCGCGATATTTTATCCTTTAAGCCTTGTGTCTTGAAAATAAACACACTCTCGACCACTGAGTTTGTTTTGCTCTTTGTGTTGGCCGCGCAAATGCGGCATAAGTGCTCAAACTGAGCATCCATATTTGGAGTTTCACGCTGTGCCTTCTATTTTCAAACTTGGAGCTCCACACGCAACATGCCTTGCTGCTGGTAAAATACAAATTGCATTTGTGAAAATCTCCCACGGGTGCGGTATAAACTCACACACACTGCTATTTGTAATGTGGCTTGCCTTGCACACTGCTTCGTTTTCACAAATTTTTCACTTGCAATTCGAGAAAGTCGTCGCGCGGCCTCTGAGAGCGTGCAATACAAATGGCAGAATGAAAAACAAATAATAACAAACTGTAACTGTATTGATCGTTGAAAGCAGAGAGCTCAAATCCGCAGCGCTGAGAAAGAGAGAAACAGCAACTGATCGATCTCGCCCTCAAACTCACATTTCGGTTTTTTCATTTGTACGTTGTCCGCACTCGCTATGCTATGTTTTTGGGAAAAAAATATTTCCACTTGAAATTATTATTCTATGCTTATTATAGCGTGTTTCAATTACGCTGAACGCCTCCAACTTGAGACCCGGGGCTGTGCGTTAATTCTATCCACTTGAAATAAACTTTTGCCACACCGATTTCACCAGCACTTGCGTTGCGACGAGAAAACGAAATAAAACTGAGCGAAATAAACGCTGCTGCCGTTTGCCATTACACTCACCACCCACCCATACTAAAGCATTCCCGCACGCACACTGTCGCGCGCCGACGGCTTACTGTACAGTGCACACTTCCTCTTCCACTGCTCTCGCCTGGTCTGCGTTGTTCGTTGTTTTTATGAGCTCGCCGTGGCCTTTTGGTCTGTGGTGGTGTGCGTGCTGTCTGACTGTTGCATGTATTACACTCTTACACGAGGTTTGTTTCTGTTTTTCGAGCGCTTATGCGCGTATTTGTGTGAGTGAGGGCCTGGTATCCGTCTATTTCATGGCGCACAGCCAGTTTTCCGCTCTGTCTATATGGCCCCCAATGGCATATGCGTATTTCGTTGGTTTTAAAGGCCAGATACACAGGATCTATGAAAATAATTTTATAGACCGGATATCTACAGAAGCTTTCCATACACTCTTAAGTTTAGACTACATTTAATCAATTTATTTATCACCTTGTAATTTTGAAAGTGGTTGCCTCGCTTATTAACCACTTATACGCATAACCTTTAACTAATAAGTACTCAACAGTCGATTCATCCGAATTGAGTACTTTTTTTGCTTATACCAAAACTCGTTGTCGCTTCGTTTGCGAGTGTTAGTGCCACTGCGTGTTTGTGTGTTTATATGCGTGTGTGTGTGTCAAAATGACTTATTATGTTTTGGTGCTTGTGCTTCTGATCTTTCTTCTGCTTTTGTTGCTATTTCCTTACGCTGATACACTTTTCCTTGCATGTATTGTTTGTACGCAGAGAATAAAAAGTTTTCATTAAACCGTGGGCATACTAACACATTATCCGGCCGACGTGGCGTCTTATCAACTATTTTAGCCGAAAAACTAGAAAATTGTTTTTTTTTTTAATCCGCAATGTAAAGTAACAGGTTTTTAAGATGGTCTTTATAAGCACAATATCCCCATTTCGACATAACAAATAAGTAGGCAAATGTTTTTTTTTTGTCTAAAATGCATGCATTATTAGAAACAACTTTTTATTTTAGAGTTGGGATATCATCACTTTGTTGTATTTGTATAGACTGCTTAAAATCAATAATTAAAATCGTCTAAAGGTTATTTAAATAATATTATTGTGTTAATTGTACTATACACTTCAAACGCACATTTTCTAATAATAGTACACACACACTTATTTAATTATGTGCTTCTGCTATGCATCCCTTTGCCGTAAGGTATGCAATGAATTTTTAGACAAGATTTTTAATACCGCAAAGTGATTATAGTTAAACCGCCATAACCACCATATGATAACAAGTTAAACAAAATTTGTTGAGGATTACAAATGTTCAGAAAAACACCTTGTAGCGAGATAAAAATGTAGTGATGAAAAAAATTCTGATATCGTTGATTGTGCGGAAGGACTACCTTCTTAACTACAGTCAAATTAACTCACTACCATAAGAACGCAGAGAAAGTTTTAAAATTTCGCCGATCGGACAACTCTCAACTCATTTTTAACCGAGGAGATTTATTAGACAAATTCTCTTTTTGCCACATCCGTGTAGTTTCTATCTGCCGCAAGAACAACACTAAATATATTTAAGTAACTAGTTGTTTCTATTGCTTTTAAACCATTTATACTGGTTTAAAAGTAAAAGAAAATGTAACTAACAAAAAACATTGAGGGAACATCATGTTTCACTTTTTTGTTAACAAATGTTTTATTATAACATTTTTACCTACCAAATTGCAGATGCATACTTTTCGGCGAATTTCAATGTTCAAAATGAGCCGATAGTTGGCGATTTTGTTGTTAAGCACGGGAGGGTAATTTTTGAGTCAAATCACAAGGGCATTAATATTTAAAAGCTTTAAAAGAAAACGTCAGGTCAGTTTTTTGAGATCGAAAACAAACAATAAAGGAAGCAAACTTCGAAGTTTATGTACCACCTCTTCCAGCTATTTATAAACTTACAAATTCTTTAAAATAACTACATATAACTACGCAAACTAGTCTGTCAGTTTTAAAGCTATCTATTTTGTCAAAATCGGGAAGCTATATCATATAGCTCCCATTAAAACAATCATCAAAAAAATATGATTAAAATCGTACATCGTTTTTGTCAAAATCCCATATTACCGTATTTTTTCTAATAACCATTTAAAAAAAAAATTACTTCTAAGAAAAATAATAGTCCCTGTTGGAAAATCGTTCTTGGCCCTTAAAGTTGGTATTGACTGCAATTATGTGCAAATATTCAATTATCGATTAAAATAAATACGAATTAATTTAATATAAATAATTAAATAACATAACACAATAAAATGTTCATCACTTTAGAATCATAACTGATGTCATTTAAAAGCCTAGTGCGATAAAAAGTTACAGTCTTATAAGCTTGATTCTGAATACTGCAACTTTGCGACTAGGCTAATACAAATAAAGCTAATTATAAGAAAATTTATCTAACAATCAATAAAACACTATTCGCTGCTTTAACATTTTTAAAACTATACTTTTGGGCTGACAAATTCATTTTAGTTAACTAGTACAAGTTGCTAAAGCAATTTGATTAAATCGATATTTCTGTATTATATTAACTTGAAATTCAGCCCAAATATTCTAAATCACCCTCAAACCTAATCTTTCGAATTCCTCTTCCTCAATAGTTTTAGTAGCAAATAAAAAAGATTCAAGTAGCTCAAACAAATATAACATTAGTTCGATTTGTGTTTGACTTAATTAATAAAGCCATTTAACCTTATGCAGTTTCAAGTAGTAGCAACAGCATTATAATACCCTCTGCAAGAGTATAAAATGTATAATTTAGCTGCACACGACTGGGCTAATGCAAGTAAAGCAAATTATACGAAAATATTTATAAACAATAAAACACTATTACATTTTTTAAACACATTTTAAAACTATACTTTTAGGTTGGTTAGGTTAGTTAACTAGTACAAATTTCTAAAGATTTCAATATTTCTGTATTAAATTAACTTAATATTCAGCCCAAACATTCAAAATCACCCTTAAACGTATTCTTTCGACTTCCTTTTAACCAATATCTATATGCTGAACATAACAAATATATTTACCTAATACAGAATCTCCCTGATTCGCAAATTTTGGGCGAGTACCAACAACAGCTTGAGACGGGAAATAATTTGCGCTAGTGTGTGTGAGAATGTAAAATATGTATTCGTGTTTTGACTTTTAGCCTTCGAGTTGAAGCTATGTAGAGCCACGTTCTCGCCAGCGACAGGCTGCTTGGTGCATTGAATGCTGGACCTGGCATGAATGGGTGCGGATAGCACATTGTAAAAAAATGTTTAGCAAAGGCCGGTGGCCGCCATTGCTCTGAGCCAAAATATAAAGGGAACGTAAAATGGAATTGGCCATGCAGAGGCCGCACCTACGGTATGTAAAAGTTGCTTTGTCATTATATCATTAATGCACTCCATTTGATAGAATCAAAAATCTTTAATTTTGCACATGGCGCGCACTCCTACATTTGGCTGCTTGGGTGGGGCAAGGGATGGCTGTTACGATCCTTACTTAAGACGAGTTATTAAAAAACACGCCTTTTAATTTTTATTGCGGAATACTCTTCCACGAATTGTATGTGAAGTTGGATAAGTTTACTTAAATTAACAGGCTCAAATACGAATTATTTTACCTGAATCTAGATCAAGGGGCATGATGAATACGTAGAAAATCTTCAAAAGGATTTAGCATAAAAAACGACTGTTTAATGAACTAGGAAATTTTCAAATGTGATAACAGTTAGCATGTGACGTGAATAAATATAATAATAATCAAGAACACTCGAATAATAAATAAGTGAGGTTGTAATTAGTGTTCCAAGGTTCCAAAGTACTAGAAGCAACTACTTTTAAATGAAAACGAACTTTGTTATATAAATTCAATTTATCAAAGATAAGGTATGATTTTAAAATCAATATCACATATACTATCTATCTGATCAACTTACTTCTGCAATTAAATAAATTTTAGTTTTCTGTGTATTTGCAATGCACATATAGAGAAAGGAGAGCAATGGTTTTTATGACACCCTGACCTAATGAAGTGCTACCAGTTAAATAAGAGGAATTGCTTATTACCCCACACAGAGAGCCAGAAAACGCTCAAGCAATTTGATTTACAATTTGTTACAGTTTAATGGTGAAGTGAGTACCAAAGGCAGCTTATTGCCCAACAATGAAAGTAAAAGTTGTGTCATTTACGTTGCGGATTTGGTTGGCCCAGAATGCAGAGCAACGATCTAACAATTGTGGGATGGCGGGCGAGGGCGAAACAACAAACAGATTGCCCGGCTTTTTCCCATTCGTTATAGCCGTAAGGCACGAGTTCGCCGATTTTGTAATGCATTGACAGTCAGAGCAGCTCTGGTATGGTGCGCATTTGGAAAGCAAGCCTAATTGTTCAGAGACAGTCAAAAATCGACTCTCCGCCTGATCGAATTTAGGCACTTTTAGCTCCTAAACTCTCTTAAACAGTGGAACCTTTCTCACTCGACGCCTTGTCCTTGCCTTAAGAGGAAGTAAGTGCCACCGAAGATCGATAGTTCTGGCAAGAGCCAGTAATACACGTCTCTTCCGTATTGCAACACCTAGGGCGGAACTCAATCCTCACTGACTGGGGAAATCATACAGGCCTGCTTGTGCACTGTTTGAGATTTTCATGTTGGTAATTGTAATAGTCTCGCAGGCAGAACGGCCTTGAAGTAATACACTCTTACGTGTTAAAAGTTAAAATGGTAGCGGCGCTGAGACTGGGAGGAGAATTCGAATACTGCTACGGTTTGTCATTTAAATCCGGTTTATTCAACCAACAGTGCTGTTTGCTGTTTCTTGAATTTGAGCGACAAAGTGTGACAATGCTATTAAATTGCCCGCATTTAAAACTACTAGATACAACCCGTCTCAAAATTTTTTAAATATTGTATTTAAATGGAATCACTAAAGTTTAATAAAAATTAAAAAAAAAATTA